GCTTCTGGCATGCATACCCATCTGAAACCTCTTGACTGGTTATAGCTGGAGAATGCTGACACAGCCTAGAGATGTTTTCCCCAGCCTGATTCAACTTGGCCCTCAAGTTCAGTTTAAGGCTTTGTGACAGTCCCTTTGGACTGCTATAGCAAAGTACTGTAGATTGGGCAGCTTAAACAACGATTTATTTCTCACCGTTCTGGAGACTGGAAGTCCAAGATTAGGATGCCAAGATGACGGCTGGATTCTGGTGAGGGGCCTCCTCTGGGTTGCAGACTGCTGACATTTTGTTGTATCCTTAGATGTCACAAAGAGGATGAGAGAACTCTCTAGGGGTCCCTTTTAAGGGCACTAATCCTACTCATGAGGGCTCCAGCCCCATGACCTCATGACCCAATCGCCTCCCAAAGGCCCCATCACATTGGGGGTCAGGATTTCAACATATGAATTTGCAGTGGAGGGGGACAAACATACAGTCCATTGCAGGCTTATAGCACCTGGAGTCAGGAGGACAGGAATTAAGTCCCAAGGTTCAAGACTGAAGTTCTGTTGTCCACAGATCCAAAACTGCTCTGTGAAAGGCACAGACCCCATATCTTCAGATCTAGATGACTGAAGGGCGTCTCAATTCTGCTCTCCTCCAAACCCTGTTCTTCTTTGAAAGGTTTTTATTCTTCTTCCCCTCTTCCCAGAAATTCCACAAAGGAAAGAAAGTAAGGTACTATTTATTTCTTGCTAGCCCTTACTCTATTGCATTACTCTGTATTGGTTTCTTTGTTGATGTTTTTGTACATAAGCAGTGTATGTTTTTTTTTTTTTTTTTTTTTTTTTTTTTTTTGTAAGGTACTCATTTATTTCTTGCTAGCCCTTACTCTATTGCATTACTCTGTATTGGTTTCTTTGTTGATGTTTTTGTACATAAAGTATGTATATTTGAGACGGAGTCTCGCTCTGTCGCCCAGGCTGGAGTGCAGTGGCGCAATCTCGGCTCACTGCAAGCTCCGCCTCCCGGGTTCACGCCATTCTCCTGCCTCAGCCTCCCGAGTAGCTGGGACTACAGGCGCCCGCCAAGCAGTGTATGTTTTTTTAACCCAGAAGCCACAGACAAAAGGAAATGAATGAATTATTGAGCACTTATTATTTGCTGCCAGATTCTTGTGCAATGTATGTGGCATGAATTATCATTGTCTCATATAATAAACACTAGGCCAGGCGCGGTGGCTCATACCTGTAATCCCAGCACTTTGGAAGGCCGAAGCAGGTGGATCACTAGAGATCAGGAGCTGGAGACCAGCCTGGCTCACACACTGAAACCCCCATCTCTATCAAAATACAAAAATTAGCTCGGTGTAGTGGCGGGCGCCTGTAGTCCCAGCTACTCAGGAGGCTGAAGTGGGAGAATTGCTGGAATCCAGGAGGCGGAGGTTGCAGCGAGCTGAGATCGCGCCACTGCACTTCAACCTGGGTGACAGAGTGAGACTCCGTCTTGAAAATAAATAAATTAATAAATAAATAAACACTGCAGAACTTTCTGGAGATATTTATGGTTACAAAACCTTATACTATAAAATAAATATGAGTATCATTTAAAATGTGCCATTACAGAGAAGATCATGTCATTTTTTATTAAAAAGTCATTAAAAACTGATCACTCAATGCTTTTGAAACTAGTTACCACCCAAGGAACAATATTAAACCCACGCAGGTATACTTTTCATACAATCCTCATCTCGTTTTCATCTCCACTGTCTGCAAATAGCAGAATCAGCTCCATCTTCTTCAATGACTTAAAAACCTACCTTAGTTTTAGTGCCTTACCTTCCAACCCTCTGCCCTCCCAGTTATTTAATCTCTCCAATTCCTAGGACCTTCACCTCCACCTGATTTCAGACTCCTTGAAGCCTTGTCACCTCTGAGCCACTGAATCAGCTAGACCTGTTTACCTGTAAGACCTCAGGCTCAGAACTATCTTTGGTATCCCATCCTTTCCTCCACTTGGGTCACACCAGCCCAGCTCTCTTTCTCCCTTTACTGTGAAGTACCTAGAAAGGGCAGTCTTCAAGTTGACTTCTACTTCTCATTTCTTCAATCCACTGTGCTATTTCTGCTCTTACAGAGGTCTCTAGCAATAGACAGTGCTGAAGTCAGGACAGCAATCTAGGCCCTGCCTCATGCAGCACATTGCAGAGAAACTGGGGCCAGAGTGAAGGGCTCAACCCAGTGAGTTCCCCTCATACTTAAACCACCTGACCCCTCTGATTCATAGGATGCTGTCACCCACTCCCTCTTTCTTATATAATTATATCCTCATTTAATTGCCACAATTTCATACCAGCTTGATTCTCTTTCCAACTTCTCTGGCTCCTATTTCTCAGCTCTCTTCAAAGACATTTCTTCTTCTGACACACCTTCAATGCAGGCCTCTCCCTGCTTTCTTTTCTTTCTTTATTTATTTATATATATTTTTTGAGACACGGTGCCACTCTGTTGCCCAGGCTGGAATGCAGTGGTGCGATCGTGGCTATTGCAGCCTCGACCTCCTGGGCTCAGGTGATCCTCCCACCTCAGCCTCCCGACTAGCTAGGACCACAGGCATGCACCACCATGCCTGGCTAATTTTTAATATTTTTTGTAGACACGGGGGAGCCTCCCTGTGTTTCACAGGCTGGTCTTGAACTCCTGGCTCAAGCGATCCTTCTACCTCGACCTTCCAAAGTGCTGGGATTCCCAGTGTGAGCTACCATGCCCAACTCTTCTCCTTTTCTCATCAACATTCCCCTGTGGAGATCACACCTACTTCGACTACTCCCCATAAGTGTGTGGCTCTTAAAGAAACAGCTATGCTTGACTTTTCTCTTGACCTCAACATCAGCATTTTCAGTTGCTTGTGGGCAGGAGTAGCCTACCAGTATTTTATATTCAGCATCTCCAAAACAAGACTCTTAGATTTTAAATCCACTTCTCTTTCTGTGCTCTCAATTTCAACCACAGTTGTCTTTAACTTCGCCCTCTTCCTCATCCCGTCCCCCTCCTCTGAGTTGCCAAGACCTATCAGTTCCACTTGCCAATCCATCCCTCCCTTCCCATTCCCAATGACACTGCCAGAGTTCAGGCCCCCACTTCATTTCCTCTCCCTTAATTATGGCAATACCCTATTGGTCCGCTGCTTCCTACCAATGGGGTACCATGATCCTCAACCACATACCTTCTCCAAAACCGTCCCTCAATTTTTTTTTCAATAGTTCCCCATTGGTTAAAAAAACAACTCCAAGCTGTTTTAGTTTGGATTTCAATGTCCCTAGAGTCTTGCCTCAGCCACCGTGTGTAGTTACCTATTACTCAGCCTCTCTGGGCTCTCCAAACAGTTCCTGTCTTTTCAGCAACTTTGTTCCTCTTGTTCCCTCTGCCTGGAGTTATCGTTCCATTCTTATCCACTAAACGCTGCATCCACCAAAGCCTTTCCTTCTTGTTCCCTTCTCACTTGAGGCTGGACCAAATCCCTCTTTTCTTTGGCTCCTTGTAGCATATCTTCCATTTTGGATATCAGTTATACCATTTATACCTTTTTCCTCATATTGAGGTAAAATGGGTCTATTTCCCCACCAGCTTGTAAAGAGTCTTCAAGTTCCATTCCATAAAAAAATTATAAAGCTTTCGGTGATTTTTTTTGTGTTGTTTTGTTTTAACTGGGCATGGTAACAGCAACTAGGAGTCCAAAAAAACAAAAAACAAAAAAAGTAGGCCGCAGCCTCAGGGCTGGATCTTTCTACTGGGAAGAGGGAAATGTAGGAACAGAAAGCACCATGCTGTGTGGCAGGAAGTGGGCATGCCTTATTACATTCGCTTCCCCCAGCTGGGATTTGCACAGGTTGGATGCATGATGTTTTCCAGCTGGAAGAGTCTAAAAGATAATGTGATCCACTCTTCATGTGTCCTAGCATAGGAAACTGAGAACACAACAGTTAGGGGCTTGCTCAAAGTCACCAAGCCAATGAGTGGCAAGAGCTGGATCCAGTCCCAGGGCCAGGGCACGCTCTGCCACATCCCAACACAGCCCCTCCCGCTTTGCACGCTCGGGGTAGGGCAGGGTGGGGTGTACCAGTGCAATCAAGTGCAATCAAGGGATATGTCTGGGCTGAGTTGGAAAAATTAAAAAAAGGAAGATGTTGAAGGACATGAAAATCTTTCTCCTTTTATGAATGCTTCATTGCCATGAAACTCCCCTCCACTCTTGCTTCCACAAAATTCACTGGAAATTTATTGTGTTCTTTTTGAAAGTCAAATTGTTCTAGGGTTAATGAAATGATCATTCACAGAAAAAGAGGTCAAACCTTTTTAAAGGCTTCGTTCCCGGATTGGTGCTCCTCCTGTAAGTCACGAGAAAGGTCCCAGAAAAACTGCATGATTTTTTCTTTTAAAAAGTTACATGATTGCAAAAGGCAGCACACCCAGCTGAGAGAGGGTTTTATTTTTATTTTTCCAAAAGGTTTCTGAAAATCATTGCCTTATTCTCAACAGGGCTTCAAATAAAACCACATTAAGGTTTCCAGTACCAGGGCTGGTCTCAAACTCCTGAGCTTAAGTGATCCGTCTACATTTGCCTCCCAGTGTGCTGGGATTACAGGGTGAACCACTGCACCCAGCCAATGATATGTTTTAACATGGATTTAGCGTTCAAAGCATGTATCCCAGAACCTTACCAAAGGAGGTAAGAGAGTGTGGTCACTCTGTCCCTCTTTTGAAACACTGAAGAAATCACACCAACTCCACCTGGAGATTTTATTCTTAATCAGGCTTTACTCTCCATAAACTGAGAAATAGTATTTTCCCCAAAATAATCAAACTACTAATTTATCATTGGTTAGTGCCTTGCAGATTACCAAGGTCTTTCACATACACTTCTGTAAACATTTCTGTACAGGTAAGAAAACTGAGTTGTAGCAACATTTGCTCTGCTAGCAAATGACAGAGCAAGAGACAGCACAGTAAGGGAGAAAGAAATCCTCGGCTTTGGGTTCAGGCTCAGGACTTGATCTCAGCTCAAGGAATCCTAGCAACACTAAACTGGTCAAGGTATGTAACCTCTTTGAGCTTCATATTTTTTTTAAATCACAAAATATTTGTCATACCCACCCCACAAATTTATGAAACTAAATAGGACAAAATGTAAAAAGTCACAACAAAATTCCTAGCACATAAAAGATGTCCATTGAATATATAGCCTGCCTTAGTTGCTACACCTGTAAAAGGGGGTAATCAAATCTAAGTAAAATCCACCTGGAGGATGCACTACCACTGTTAGTTCTCTTTGTCCATTTCCATCTCCCCTTCCTCTTCCCCCACAAACCAAAGCTGCCTCCATGGAAAGGATAATTCGGCATATTAGAAAACAACCTTAGGGATGTTTTCACACATTAGCAAGCATTTAACTTATCTACCGAACTCAAAATTGTTTCTCAGGAAAAAGAAAGACCCAAATTAAATATTTTAAAAAGGTTTTTTAACATGGCCATATATCATTTCCATATACTGTACCTGGAAGCTTCCATGGTGATAAAAATATTTGAGAATGTACCAACTTCAATCCATCCCTTTTGTCCCACATCTTTCCCCCATCCGGCTCAACCCTCGAAAAGGACTTCCAAGTAGATCTCTTTTTTATTTTTAAAGTCACAGTGCCACTTTAGTTTATCCAAAACTTAGATGGAGAGCTATAGGTCGGCAGGCGGGGGCGCTGGTGCGGAATGCAGAGAAAAGGAAAATGAAGAAAACAGTGAACAAAACAATTGAGAGGAAAAACAAGTTTTCATACAAATCTGGGCTCTCTTCCAAAGAGATCATTAATTCTAAGATATTTTACTATCTGCTCAATGCTACGAAGCTTCCACGTGGCCACTGACTGAAACAGTGTGTACCAAGCCATGGCTTCCCTGGTACCATCATTCACACAGTCAACAGCACATGCTGGCAAATTCGTTCTCAAGTAGCAGCTTACAGTCTCCTTCACCCAAAGCAGGAGGTCAACAATTGTTTTCAATTACATTTCGAATACAATTTCCAAAGGAAAGAATGCAAGAAAATGTTCCTCTCATTTTTAAGGGCTGTTTTTGGCTGTTTGGGGTTGTTTCTGTTTTGGTGGCAGTAAAGTTCTTCTTTGGTTAAGGTTTAATATTTATGTACACAATCTACCCACACCACGGAAGGTGGGAAATTCCAGTTGTTCTCGCCCTTTGAGTTTTTAGAATAATCGTATTTACAATGAGGCGCTCAGAATCTGGAACAGTTTGCATTTTAGAAGTATAGGAAAAGAGTCTCCTTAATAAGTATCTATAAGTTGCAGGCACGTAACCAATAAGGGCAGGGGAGAAATCCCCAAAGGTAAAAACACCTCCCCCATCACCCAAACCCCAGTACCCATTTCTTTTTCCTAAGATTTAGGCCTGGAGAAGATACCAGATTAAGAATGTAAACCACCTTCGAAGAGGACCTTAGGCTGAGCGCCCGGCTGCGCGCTATGCGGCGGGCGCAGGGGTCCTGGCCGGCCCGGGCGCTCGCTAGCTGCCCCCCTCCTCGGGCTCGCTGCTGGGCGAAGGCGCCGAAGAGGCCTTGGACTCCCCGTCGCTGTTGCATTCCGCCCTGCGCCGGGGGACGGCGCCGGCTGTGCCCTCAGGACCCCGGGCCTGGCGCTCCAGCAGCTCCTGCAGGTGCTTGATGTAGCCGATGGCGGCGCGGAGCGTCTCCACTTTGCTGAGGCGCTTGTCAGCCAGCTCCCGGGGCAGGTGGTCTCGGAGGCGCGCATAGCCCTCGTTCACGCAGCGCACCCGCTGCCGCTCGCGCTCGTTGCGCTTGCGGAGGCAGGCGGGCTCGAAGGCGCCGTCCAGCGGCAGGGGCAGGTACTGCCGTTTCCGTGCGCAGCTGCTGCGCGCCCACTCCCAGCACGCGGCGTCCAGACGCAGGGCGACCCTTAGGGGTTCCCTCCGCGGGAGTCCGGCCAGGGTCCCCGGCACGCCCAGGGGCGCGGCGCGCAGCGAGTATGGCAAGGCCAGCAGTCCCGCCGGTTTACGCGTCTCCATCATTTGCCGGAAAGCACACAAATCACCCAAGAGGTCAATCTCTCAATAAAAGACGAAACAGAATCTTAGAAGCAGAGGTGCTGGTGCAGACTGCCTGGCTCAGCGGGTCTGTCTTTGGAGAAGTTTCTGGGTCCAGAAGTTAGGTTCCTGGACAGGCTTCAAGGAAGCGGTGCATGATTTCTGAAGTTCATTGCACTCCTCGATCTTTTTATGAAGATTTAGCAGAGGGGGTAGGCAAAGACGTAGGACCTCCTAATCCACACTTCAAACCCCGTCTTCCCCGCTGATCTTCTTTCAAAAGATAACAAAGGGGGTTCCTCTGCTTGGTCCCCCAGCTTGGTAAGGTGAGCTCACACCGCAGTCATCTTCCAAAGCCACCAAAAGCTTTTCAATGCCTGTAATCCACCACTCTAGATCTTCAAGAGACGAGTCGTTCGCCAAGAGCCTAGCAATCTTCAGGATTTGAGAAGAGCTCCTCCAGGAACCTGCAGACCTCCTGGCGGCGGAGGGAAAGTGGACCAGAGGCTTTCTCCTTGAAAATCACTTGACTGTCCTTTGTGGTTTCCCGCGACCAGGTCTAATGGAAGGAGCTTTTAGAGTGTTTGCAAACTTACACTTGCTCTTTCATTTCTGGGGTCTTAGCCTCATCAAAGGAAAAACTGCTCTCTTGCGGTTATCAAATGTGTCAAGTCAAGGAAGACCCGGGGCGAGGCTTGAGGTTTGTCTCCTTCCAAGCGGAATCTTTTAAAAACCCAATGAGGCATGTCTGAAGGGTACAGGAAAAATACAGACTGTAGCAAAGAATATAAGGGTCTGCATATTATGTTCCAACTTATGTTTGACTCAGGGTGTTTTACGGATATATGCGACTTTTTAAGAGCACATCAAAAGACTGAACAATAACAAACGCGCTTAGCCGGTAATTTCTCCCAGTGCTTACTGTAAACACATCTTAAATACTGCTTCCCAACCTCCTCTTCTAATCTCACCCAGGATATAAGGACATCATCTTTCCATAGTGCAAAGAGTATTTTTCCATTGGATTCTTCTTCTTTTAAAAAATGCCATTTATTTTCTCGCTTGGGGGCAGGAAAGCAACATTTGAAAGGTGGAGACCCCCAGTTCCAAGGAGAAAGGATGACATCTTTGAAGACTTGTATTTTTAACACACAACCCCCCAAAAATGAATAATTAATCCATCCGTGTTGGTAAATCCTTTGAAGATGAAAGTGTCATTAAAAATCCAACTGTGCTGGTTAATGTCAAAGAATACGTTATCACACTGAAAATCAGATTTCCTCTTCTGCAAACCAGTACATTAAAGGCGCCTTCTACTTTAAAAGTCCGACTTTAAAACAAGAGAAGCAAAAACCCCCTACATTAATGATGAGACCTTCTGCCTACCTCAGCAGACAAGGTGCTGCCCTAACATGTTTTTCTTTTTAGTTCGGCAAGTCCTGTGCTTCCCTGTTTGTTCTAAATGATCTGCCTGAAGCAACTCGAAAAACAAGGCAAATAAAATAGAAATAATTATTCCTTTCAGGTATAAGTCAGTTACATTTTAAAAGGTGTAGCTTGGCTGGGTGCAGTGGCTCAAGGTTGTAATCCCAGCACTTTGGGAGGCCAAGGCAGGAGGATTGCTTGAGGCCAAGAGTTCAAGACCAACCTGGCCAACGTAGCAAGACCCCCATCTTTTAAAAAGAAGAAAGAAAAATTAACAGTTGTAGCTCCCAATGAGGTTTGTACTGGCAAACAGCCTAATATATCATCACAATTTCTTAGTAGAATTGAGAAAGCCTTTTCTATTAGGAGAAAAGTCCACCACACAGGCAGGTGGGCTGTCATACCACAAGGTGCTTTTTGGCCACGTCAAATATTTTAACTTTTGAGAGTGACAGGAAGATAATGAAATATTTTAAGCAGGGAGGTGACATTTGAAAATCTGTGTTTCAAAAAAGATAACTGTATCTGCAGATTGGGGACTAGACTGGAAGAGAGCAAAAGGAAGAACAGTTGAGGTGCCATTTCTCCTTCTTAGATTGGCAAAACTTTAAAAGATTGCTAACATTCAGGGCAGGCAAGGATTTGAGGAAAGGGTGGGAGCATAAATTGCTTCAAGAAACTATTAAAATTATTATTATTTTGAGACAGGTCTCACTCTGTCACCCAGGCTGGAGGGCAGTGATGCAATCTCTGCTCACTGCAACCTCCGCCTCCCAGGCTCAAGGGATCCTCCTCCCTCAACCTCCTGAGTAGCTGGGACTACAGGCTTGTGCCTCCACATCCCAGCTAAAGAAACTGTTAAAATTAATAGTGCACAGCACATCCTTTGATTCAGATATCTGTCCTGTTTTGTCCTACCAAAATAAATGTAGCAATACCTATTTATGTGTACAAAAATCTTTATTGCAACATTTGTAGTGATTTTAAAAAAAGAAGAGTCCAGGTGAGGTGGCTCATGCCTATAATCCCAGCACTTTGGGAGGCCAAAGTGGGTGGATCACTTGAGGTCAGGAGTTCAAGACCAGCCTGACCCCTAGGGTGAAACCCCATCTCTACTAAAAATCCTAAAAATTAGCCAGGCAAGGTGGCATGTGCCTGTAGTCCCAGCTACTCAGGGGGCCGAGGCAAGAGAATTGCTTGAACTCGGCAGGTGGAGGTTGAAGTGAGCTGAGATAGGCTGGGCGACAAAGCAAGACTCTATCTGAAGAAGAAGAAGAAGAAGGAGAAGGAGGAGGAGGAGGAGGAAGAGGAGGAGGAGGAGGAGGAGAAAAGGGGAACAGCCTGGACAGCCTGAATGTCCATCAATAGGAAAAGAGTTAAAAATCTTAGAATATTATGCTATTATTAAAAATAATGAGTAAAATCTATATGTAAGAACTTGCAGACATATCCACAATGTGTTAAGTGAAAAAAGCAAATTGCAGAATAACATATGCAGCGGGAACATAAAAACAATTCTACATGATGTGTATGTCCTTTATATGTGTTTCTGTGAGCATAGAGAATGAAATAGAAAGACATACACTAAATAGTTTTTTGCATTGGTTGCCTAAAAAGAAAGGGTGGCATTGGGGGGTAAGGGGGAATGTTCATTTTTCTTCATAAATCTTTCTACTGTTTAACTTGTTAATAAAAGCACTATTACTTATTTTTATAACTCAGTGAAACTTAATAAGAGAAAATGTGTAGAAAGTTCAGACAACGCCCCCTGATCTGGCCCAAACCAACAGATTTATCATTAGAAATTAGAACTCTTGGATCAGGATTTCTGGCTCCTTATAAATTCTGTCTCTAAGGAAGAAGTAGCTACAAGACTTTCTCTCTCCCTCTCTCTCTCCTAATACCACAATCAAAATTGGTCAAGGCCAGGCGTGGTGGCTCATGTCTTAATCCCAGCACTTTGGCAGGCAGATCGCCTGAGGTCAGTGGTTCAAGACCAGCCTGACCAACATGGAGAAACCCCATTTCTACTGAAAATATAAAATTAGCTAGGTGTGGTGGCGCATGCCTGTAATCCCAGCTACTCGGGAGGCTGAGGCAGGAGAATCACTTGAATCCAGGAGGTGGAGGTTGTGGTGAGCTGAGATCGCGCCATTGCACTCCAGCCTGGGCAACAAGAGTGAAACTCCATCTAAAAAAACTGGTCAAATCCTGATCCTACAGTGGTCTTTCTATAGGATCCAAGTAATATAATGACCTAACTGCATGGTCACAAAGAATGCTGACAGAGCATTCTTTCCTAAAGGACAAAAGCATTGAAAATAAGTGACTTTTCCAGTAGCAATAGGACTGTTTTACTCACATGATGTGCAGGGTATGGGGTGGGGGCTACCTTCTTTATGTAAGAGATCAAAAGAAGAAGTTTTGACTCCTGATTACTCTCCAGTCAGTTTTCACCCAGATAAACAATCTCTCCAACCTAAAGCTGTCCTAAGGCTGGCTAGATCAAGTAACACATATGCTAACCTGCCAAGAGCAACTGAGGCTGGGTTTGTGTAGTCTTATTTAGGTCTGCTCATGAAAGGGGGCAGATGGGCAAGTATATCTTAATCCTTTCCTTCTAGCTTTCATCTGCTCTTCCTTGTTTAAGGCTACCTTCTCCTACCGCAAATTTTACAAGGCCTCCTCTCGTCTATATAACACCCTGGTGTGAATTATGAAGAGGCACCAAACTCAAGGCTTGGAGAATGAATGGCTGACTCTAAAATTCATCTGGAAGAACTTTTGGGCAAGGATTGCCCAAATTCGGAAAAGAAGACCAAAAAACGCAACGTGCACTTTTAATATTGATGAGGAAGAAACCACCACTTGCGATTCTAATTGAGGCTGTGTTAAATAGAAAGATTAAATTGGGTCAGGTGCAGTGGCTCACACCTGCAATTCCAACACTTTGGGAAGCTTAGACAGGTACATCGGTTGAGCCTGGGAGTTTGAGGCCAGCCAGGGCAACATGGGGAGACCCCATCTATGCAAAAAAATACAGAAAGTAGTCAGGCATGGTGGCATGCGCCTGAGGTCGCAGCTACTCAGGAGGCTAAGGTGGGTGGATTGATTGAGCCCAGGAGATCGAGGCTGCAGTGAGCTGTGATTGTGCCACAGCACTGCAACCTGGGCAACAGAGCAAGACCCTGTCTCCATTAAAAAGATTAATTTGGAGAGAATCACCTTTTGTTTAAAAACGTTGCATTTCTCCATATATGCACATAATAGAACTCATTTCTTCAGGTCTTCTTTTTTGCTCATTAGTAAATTTTGGCCAGGTGCAGTGACTCACGCCTGTAATCCCAGCACTTTGGGAGGCAAAGGCGGGCAGATCACAAGGTCAAGAGATCAAGACCATCCTGGCCAACATGGTGAAAGCCCGTCTCTACTAAAAATACAAAAATTAGCTGGGCGTAGTGGCACGTGCCTGTAGTCCCAGCTACTCGGGAGGCTGAGGCAGAAGAATCACTTCAACCCAGGAGGCAAACGTTGCAGTGAGCCGTGATTGCGCCACTGCACTCCAGACTGGCCACAGAGCAAGATTCCATCTCAAAATATAAAAATAAATTAATTAATTAATTTCAAAGGTTTTTCCATGTAGGTCTTGAACATATTTTATTATGCTTATTTCAAGATGTTTTATAGGTTTTGTTGCTATAGCGAATAAGTTTTTTTCTGTTATTCAAAGTTACTGATTACTTCGTATTAATCTTTAATCCAGTCATTTCACTAAACTCTCTTATTAGTTCTAATGATTTTTAATCATGATAAGATCTACATACAATTAAATGCACGGATGATAAATATACAATTTAATGAGCTTTGAATAAATTTATACACTTGTGAAATAACACCCACTCAAGATGGTTTTTTTTTTTTTTTTTGAGAGATGGGGTCTCACTCTGTCACCCAGGCTGGAATGGACCGGCACAATCTTGGCTCACTGCACCCTCTGCCTCCCAGGCTCAAGCCATCCTCCCATCTCAGCCTCCCGAGTAGCTGGGACTACAGGCATGCACCACCACGCCCAGCTAATTTTTGTATTTTTAGTAGAGACAGGGTTTTAGCATGTTGGCCAGGAAGGTCTCAATCTCTTGACCTCATGATTCACCCGCCTGGGCCTCCCAAGTGGGTGGCCCAAAGTGCTGGGATTACAGGTGTGAGCCATCACGCCCAGCCCATCCTGGTATTTCAATAAGAAAGCTTCTGATGTTTCACTATCTAGTAGATATTCTTTACCAAGTTGAGGAAATTTGTTTGTTATTATCAGGAATGGCTATTAAATTTTATCAAATGCTTGTTAATGTCTATAATCATGTATTTTTTTTTATTTGTTATTGTAGTGAATTGCTATGATAGATTTTCCAACATTGAGCCATCTTACATTCTTAGAATAAAATCCAGTGAAGGCATAATTCTTTTATACACTGCTGGATTCAATTT